AGTGTCTCTTTTCTCATTTGTGCCATTGCTCACACAGACCATGGATGGAGTTTTATGACTTTTGTCTGCTGAGTGATGCATCTCAGCACAGGATGTCCCTGACTAAGGGTTTATCCCCGAGTTCTTGGTTTGCTGCAGCAGAACCCCTTCCTTCCTGTGCCTGGGTGTCCCCATCTGCACACAGGAGTAGTGACACAGATCTTTGAGAAGCCCTTGGAGCTCTGAGTTGATGAAAAGGTTCAAGGAAGTTGTTGTTGTTATTGTTGTCTGCAGTTTAAAAACATGCCCATAAATCACCTTTCAGGGATGGGGAAGCAGGTTCCAGATTGGCTCCCGAGCTGGGTGAGTGAACAGAGAAGAATTTCCTTCTTTGGCATTTTCCCCTAGTTTTAATAACTTTGAACTCTTGCTTTAGATCTTGTTTACATTAGGCTGGTTTAGTAACTGTGTGTCTCCCTCCAGCAATTGTCTCCTTCTTCCCCACCTTCCTCAGGTATTTGGTTTAGGTACCAAACATCTGACTCAGGCCTTCCTGGAGAATGGCTGAGCAGGGGTGGATGGAAGAAGAAATTATTTTTCCCAGTTGGAAAGTAGAGGGACTTAACAGGGGAAAGAGGTGGAGGCCGTGACTGTCATGGACACGGGCCCTGGGAACATAAAAGTCTAGGCTGTTACCACACCCTGTTGAAATGTGAAACACAAACTGTACAGATGGGGTGTGCTAACAATGTTGGGGTCAGGGGATGGCAGTGGGTCCTTCTGGGATGTACAAGCTCAGAGGGTGCAAAGCTCAGCTCTGCTCTGTGCTGGGGTGGCCTCACCTCGAGTCCTGGGGGTGTTTTGGGCACTACGACATAAAAAGGATGTAAAGCTGTTGGAGAGCGTCCAAAGGAGGGACACAGGGATGGTGAAAAGCCTGGAAGGGCCATATGAGGAGTGGCTGAGGGCACTTGGCTTGTCCAGCCTGGAGGGGACTGAGGGGAGGTTCAGTGGGGGCTGCAGCTCCTCCCGAGGGGCAGCTCCGACCTCTGGGAGCAGGGACAGGACCCAGGGAAGGGCTGGAGCTGGGACAGGGCAGGCTCAGGGGGGATCTCAGGACAAGGTCCTTCTCCCAGAGGGTGGTGGGCACTGCCCAGGCTCCCCAGGGCAGTGGGCACGGCCCCAAGGCTGCCAGAGCTCCAGGAGGGTTTGGACAACGCTCTGAGGGACAGGGGGGAGTGTTGGGGTGTCCTGGGCAGGGCCAGGGCTTGGACTGGGTGATCCTTGGGGGTCCCTCCCATCTCAGGATATTCCATGATTCAACCATTTAATCCTATGTCTGCAAACAGTGACTCAGCGTGATTTCCAGCTCCTGGCCCAGGAAACACCTCCCCATTTCCGCGGGGCAGGCAGGGGGAGCATCCCCTCATCCCGAGGGGGGACCACATCCCCTCTCCGCCGGGCAGAGGACGCGGGGAGGCAGCGGGACAGCCGGGAAGGGCTCCTCGGGACAGCCGGGAAGGGCTCCTCGGGGCTCCTCCTGTGACCCGCTGGATTCCCCGGCAGATGGAGCTCGGCTCCCAGCGATGCTGCCTCAGCCCTCCCTCGGGATCCCACCGACCTGCAACACTCATCCCAACGTCTGACCACTCTTGTAGGGAAAAACTGTTCTGATCTCCAATCTGTCCCTGCCCTGGGGCAGTTTGAGGCCATTCCCTCTCCTCCTTTCCCTCGGGACATGGCAGCAGAGCCCGACCCCCCTCCCTGCCCCCTCCTGTCAGGGAGTTGGGGAGAGCAATGAGGTCCCCCCTGAGCCTCCTGTTCTCCAGATAAACCCCCCCAGCTGGTGGGATTTCCTCTGGACCTGGAGCCACTCCCCTCCTGACATTCTGGGTGGTCAGTGGGACTGGAAGGCACCGGAGGTCGGGGTTTGGGATTTATTTATTCTCAGGCTGCCCTTTCCAAGGATTCTCACCCCCCAGGCAGCCTCGGGGCCCCTCAGAGCTACAAGAAACTGGTGTTGAATACAAGTAATTATCATAAGAATCATAGAATGTTAAGGGTTGGGAGGGACTTTAAAGATAATTTAGTGCAAACTTCCCCTGCCACGGACACAGACACCTTCCACTAGCCCAGCACTGAGTAGGGGCAGTGAAATCCAAGGAAGAAAAGGCTCCAGCACAGAGCTGAGACGAGGTGGATTGTTTTAAAGCTTCTGACAGTGCCAGATCTCCAGACCTGAAGGAAGAAAATATTCTTGCCTTAGTTTTCCTGTAAGAGGCTTTTCCAATTATCTGAGCCCTCACGTGGCAGGAAGGTGTTGTATGTCTGGGCTTGGGCCCATTCCCAGAGAATCCTGACCTTTCCAGCTGCAAACACGCCAATCAGACATCCAGACAAATCCAAAAATCCTTATGGGGAACAAGTTTCAACAAGTCTTGATCAAAACTGCCAGGAGCCATAAACACATCCAGATGGGAAATAGCTCAGAACTACTTCCCACTGCCACCTTAGACCCGGAAGCTTGGAAAATGTTGGAAGTTGATTGTGTATCAACTCATAGGCTGGGCTGCCTGCAGGATTGGGCTGGGGCTGGAATGCCAGCAGTGCATCAGGAGCCCCGGCAGGAAGATGGGAAGGGCAGGGATCAGTGCTGGGCCCAGTTCTGTTTAATATCTTTATTGATGATTTAGATGAGGGCATTGAGTCCATCATCAGCAAATTTGCAGATGACACCAAGCTGGGGGGGAGTGTTGATCTGCTGGAAGGCGGGAGGGCTCTGCAGAGGGACCTGGACAGGCTGGATCCATGGGCTGATTCCAATGGATGAGGTTCAACCAGGCCAAGGGCCGGGTCCTGCCCTTTGGCCACAACAACCCCCGGCAGCTCCAGGCTGGGCCAGAGGGGCTGGAGAGCAGCCAGGCAGGAAGGGAGCTGGGAGTGGGGATGGACAGGGAGCTGAACAGGAGCCAGAGTGTGCCCAGGGGGACAAGAGGGCCAATGGATCCTGGCCTGGCTCAGGAACAGGGTGGCCAACAGGTCCAAGGAAGTGATTGTTGGCCTGGACTCAGCGCTGGTGAGGCCACCCCTGGAGTGCTGTGTCCAGTTCTGGGCCCTCAGCTCAGGAAGGACATGGAGGGGCTGGAGCAGGTCCAGAGAAGAGCAACGAGGCTGGGGAAGGGACTGGAGCACAAGTGCTGGGAGGAGAGGCTGAGGGAGCTGGGGCTGTTCAGCCTGGAGAAGAGGAGGCTCAGGGGAGACCTCCTCACTCTCTGCAACTCCCTGACAGGAGGGGGGAGCCAGGGGGGGGTCGGGCTCTTTTCCCAGGCAACCATCAGCAAGACAAGAGGGCTGGGTCTTGAGCTGTGCCAGGGGAGGGTTAGGTTGGAGATTAGAAAGAATTTCTTTGCAGAGAGGGTGCTCAGCCCTTGGAATGGGCTGCCCAGGGAAGGGGTGGATTCTCCGTCCCTGGAGGTGTTTAAGGACAGACTGGATGTGGCATCAGTGCCATGGGCTGGGAACCACGGCGGGGTTGGATCAAGGGTTGGACTGGATGATCTCGGAGGTCCCTTCCAACCCAGCTGATTCTGTGATTCTGTGATTCTATGATTCTAAGGCTCTGACTCCCAGGGCAGCCAATTCCTACTCCTTCAGCAGCATCCACAAGGTGAGTACTCATTGCTTGTCTGCCATTCTTGCACATCCAGACTTCTGGAGTGCCAAAGCCTTTGCCAGCCGGGATCTGTGAGGTGGTTTGAGCCCTGTCACAGCAGGGTTTGTCACCTCTGACGAGTCAACCCTGGGATTTGGGGCTGGTTTTCAATCAGTCGAATCCAAACCCATCAAAAAATCATAAGAAGGTACCAGATGTGTTTGTTTTATTTACACTTTATTTACATTTTACTTGTATTTTATTTACATTTATTTACATTTGATTTGCACGTTGCTGACATTTATTTACATTTGATTTGCACGTTATTTACATTTTAGTTACATTTACATATTTATATTTAGATTCATTTACATATTTATATTTTATTAACGTATTTATATTTGTTTACATAGTTGTATTTATTTACATATTTATATTTTATTTGCATTTGCACAATTATATTTTATTCACATTTACATATTTCTCTTTTATTTACATTTTACCCTCTGCATTTTTGGTCCCATTTAAAGACTAAATGAGTTACCCCTCCACTGGGAATGAGGACAAGCTGTCCCAGTGGGGAGATGATGTCGGTTACAACACCTGGGACAAACCCTGGCACCCGGAGAACACCAGGGACTCCTTTGGCCAAGAGTTTTTCCGACTGGGAAGAATACAGCGAGGAAGAGCATCCCCAAGGAAAAGGCAGCAGCTACCAAAAACTGCCCAGCTGGGAAGAAACCAGCATGGAAGGGCAGTCCCAAGGAAAATTCAGTAGCTACCAAGAACTACTGTCTGACTGGGAAGAGCTGTCCCAAGACCAAGAGTCCGCTGGACAAGAGTTTTCCCACTGGGAAGGCTCCAGACCCTCCATGCTGTCCCAGTGGGAAGATGACAGCGACAGGGAGCTCGCACTGCAGGACTGGGAACACACGGCACAGGAGTGGGCTCGGGGCTCTGCAGGGCTCTTCCTCTCCCCTGCTCTCACTCCTCACTTCTGGGAGCACAATTCCATCTCTGCCAGGACTTTATTTTCCCCTCTCCAGTCCGTTCTCCCGGAGGCGTCACTGCTGTCTCTGCTGGGCTCGGCCTTGCTCCGTCCTGGACCCGGCTGGCACTGCCCTGCTGGGCTTGGGGGAAGCTTCCAGCAGCTGCTCACAGAACCCACCCCTGCAGCTCCCCTGCTACCAAAACCTGGCCAGGCAAACCCAAAGAAAGTCCACAGGGAGCAGAGATCCACCTGCAGCCCCTGGAGGAGCAGAGATCCACCTGCAGCCCCTGGAGGAGCAGAGATCCACCTGCAGCCCCTGGAGGAGCAGAGATCTACCTGCAGCCCCTGGAGGAGGAAAGATCCACCTGCAGCCTCTGGAAGTCCATGGTGGAGCAGAGATCCACCTGCAGCCCCTGGAGGAGGAAAGATCCACCTGCAGCCCCTGGAGGAGCCCCCTGGATCAGGGGGATGCCCGAAGGAAGCTGGGACTCTGTGGGCACCCCACCCAGAGCAGGGTCCTGGCAGGGAAGTGCAGTCCATGGAGAGAGGAGCCCGGGCTGGAGCAGGGAAAGGACTCTTCTCCCTGAGCAGTGACAGGAACAGTGTGTGATGAACTGACCAGAAACCCCATTCCCCATTTTTCCCACCTTATACAGCAGTAATTTTTTTATTATTTATTGATTCATGCACTGTGCCTTTTGAACCCCAGCTACTCCAGACTAGGGCAATAAAACTAGTTTTCTATCCCAAACAGACTAAAAACATAGTTTGTTTAGCATTAAAAACCCCTATTTTTTTACTCTGTTTGGGATAAAAGACTAAACCCTGTGTGCTTGGTCTCACCTCTCACAAAACTGGTCTCCACAGGTGATTTTTGCCCTGGTGCACCCATGTGGTGACTTTGATTCACCTGCCCACAGCAATTCAGGCTGGTTTCCCAATGGATTTGGAATTCCACTTTCATTATTTAGCAGCAATTTATTGATTCTTTGTTCACACTGATTTAAATAAATACACTACTACTACTACTACTAAAAGTACTCCTAAAATAAATCAAATAAAGTAAAAATAGAGATAAATGAAAATAATAATGGTGAAATATTATATTATTAAAATTACAATTGTTATTATGTTTTATCTTTATATTTTCATGTTAATAATAATAATAATAAAAATAATAGTTTTCTTGAATATTGACATTTTAGTACGTTATTTTATTGAGAGATGGGCAACTAGCTAAGCAGTTTCAGCTTTCTTTGTGCCCTGTGAGCAGCTAAAACCTTCCCAGCACTGTGTGCTGTTTCCTACCTCGGTCAGGGCGAGGATGTCGGCTCCTCCCGCGGGCTCTGCTCTCCCGGGGGGCTTCTCTTCACAGGCAGGCTCTAAAAACTGAACGAAACAGCAGCGTAAGGCCCAAAGGAGCAAAGGAAGCACCGGGCCGATCATTTTTAAAAAACGCCCCGGCAGTGACATTTCACGGCTGATCCCAAGCACGGCCAGGCTGCAAACACCCACCCCTGGGGCGAGCACGAGATCCCCACACGGTGCTGAGCAAGAGTCCAGCACTGACTCTATGAGGCCGGGCCGAGCCCCGGTGAGGATTTAAAGGGGGCTCGGGGCTGAGGGCGAGGGCTGAGAGCGCGGGCCGAGGCCGAGGGTGCTGAGGGAGAGGACTGAGGACGAGGGCTGATGGCGACGGCGCTAAAGGGCGAGGGCGCCGAGTCCCCTCCCCGCGTCTCCCCTCGCCTCTCCGGCGCCACGCGGAGAGCCCCCGGTGCCGGGGCTCGGTCCCACCTGCCAGAAGGGCGCTGCCGATGGATCCCCGCCCGCCGGGGCCGGGGGCTGAGGGGCCGCCGCCCGCTGAGGCGCGTTGTTGTTGTTCAGGCTGCAGAAGGGGTTGCGGCGGGCGGGCGCGGAGGGGCCCCGCGGGGCCGGGGCGGCGGCGGCAGCGGCGGGTTCGCTCCTCCGCCGGCGTTTGCGCTTCAGCCGCAGCATCGCCGGCGGCCTCTGGAAGCCGGGCGGGTCCCCGGGCTCGGCGGGGGCGGCCATGGCCGAGCGCAGCCCGCAGCACCCGCGGGCCCGGCCCGGCGCCAAAGGCCGCCCGCTCCGCCCCGGGGCGGCGCTGAGGGAGCGGCGCCGCCATCGCTGCGCCCTCAGGGCTCGGGGGGAGAGCGGCTCCCGCCAGCGCCCTTCGGCCGGGGCACGGACTAATAAAGGGGCAAAAAAATGCTGCTCAGGAACATCAGTGGAGCTCCGTTCGGAAACCAGCCCCAACTGCTGTGGGCGGGGGTGTCAAAGTCACCACACGGCTGCACCAGCGCGAAAATCACCTGTGGAGATACCGGGACCGGTGGAGTGAGAGGTGAGACCAAACACACAGGGTTTAGTCTTCTATCCCAAACAGACTAAAAAGCTAGGTGTTTTATCCCTAGTTTTTTGGTCTGTTTGGGATAGAAAACTAAATTTTATTATTGCACTGGCCAGTTGTACATGGAGTTCAAGATGCACAATAAATAAATAAATAATAAATAAATTCCGGCTAAATCGCTTTGGGAAAGGGGAATGGGTTTCATGGTCACTTCATCAAACATTTGCTCAGGGCAAAGAGTCCTTTCCCTGTCCAGCGTGGGGTTCCTCCCATGGGAGACAGTTCTCCAGGAACTTCTCCTGCTTGAGTCTTTCCACAGGATCAGTCCTTAAGGAATCGATCCAGTGGGGGTCCCTTCCATGGGGTCAGTCCTTCAGGAACTGCTCCCTGTGGGTCCCCTGCAGAGTCACAAGTCCTGCCACCAGACCTGCTCCAGCATGGGCTCCTCTCTCCACGGATCCACAGCTCCTGCCAGGCCCCTGCTCCAGGATGGGCTTCCCAGAGGGTCACAGCCTCCTTTGGACATCCCCCTGCTCCAGGGGGCTCCTCCGGGGGCTGCAGGTGGGTCTCTGCTCCCCGTGACCCTCCAGGGGCTGCAGGGACACGGCTGCCCCACCACGGGCTGCCCACGGGCTGCAGGGGAAGCTCAGCCCCGGTGCCTGGAGCCCCTCCTGCCCCTCCTTCTGCCCTGCCCTGGGCTCTGCAGGGCTCTTCCTCTCCCCTGCTCTCACTCCTCACTTCTCAGAGCGCAATTCCATCTCTGCCAGGACTTTATTTTCCCCTCTCCAGTCCGTTCTCCCGGAGGCGTCACTGCCGTCTCTGCTGGGCTCGGCCTTGCTCCGTCCTGGACCCGGCTGGCACTGCCCTGCTGGGCTTGGGGGAAGCTTCCAGCAGCTGCTCACAGAACCCACCCCTGCAGCCCCCCCGGTACCCTGTGCAGTGTGTGAGTGTGCAGGACACTGTTGTGAGCTCTGGAGGTGATGATGGAGGGGCTGGAATGTCTGAAGCTGGTCTTGGCAATGGCACCTGAGACCCTCTGGGTAAGTACTGAGTGTGACATACTCAGGCACGGACCCCATGTGGTATAATGGAATTGTTTATTACGGTTCTTTCACAGTTTATATACCCCATTACATCAGCAGTAAATTCCTGTTAGTAACTTTTCTCTATATCTACTTTTTAATTAAGCATTCACTGTCCATGAGAAAAACACTCCCAAGCAATTTCCCACACACAAAGATACATCTCACCACTTCCACTTTTATCTTACCAAGTTCCCCTTAAGTTTTTCCCAGGGTCATATAATCTTGGTTCCCTACAACTGAGGGACAACCAAATGAAGCAGGTGTGTGTCCACGGGCTGCTCTCAGCAACCCAGGCAGGACAATGACATGGATGAATTGTTCTTTAAGGAATATCCGAGGAACATCTCCAAATACTCCGCCCTTGTCCTGGGGGGGAAGTCAGCTGGGCAGTGTTAGCTGGGAACAGCACACAGCTGGTCAAACTGGTCCAGGAGCTTCCTAAAACACCTGGATGACAATTTCTTGGTACAGGGATTCAGGGAACTGCCTCAGAGAGGTCACAGGTTGGACTTGATGATCTTGGAGCTCTTTTCCAACATTCCTGATTCTGGGATTCTTTCTCCTGGTTGAGCTGCAGCACGTTGGCTTTCCCAGGGCAGCCTCCTTTAGGACATCCTTGCTGAGAGCTTTGAGCTGATCCAACAGATACCTGTGAGGAACAACACAGACCCTCTGCTGCCTTGGGGGGGATGGAGCAGGGGAACCTCTCCCGCTCGGCACGAGGCTGCAGGCAGGCAGTGCTGCTGAGGAACACACTCCAGCCTGGCCCCAGGGAGTGACCTCTGGGAGATTTTTAGGAAGAATTTGTTTTCTGTGAGGGGGGGGAGGCCCTGGCAAAGGTTGCCCAGAGAAGCTGTGGCTGCCCCTGGATCCCTGGAAGTGTCCAAGGCCAGGTTGGATGGGGTTGGAGCAACCTGGGCTGGTGGAAGGTGTCCCTGCCCATGTGTTCCGATCCCATTAGGGAGAGATGCTTCTGCCCAAATTAAGGTGTAAATGAGACAATTTGCTGACAACACTTCGATTTTATTTAACATAGACTTTATTTAACTATAAATGTGAACTAAAGAGATAGAGATACTGGATACTTAACGACAACTATAGTTACTTAACCAGCTTAATGAATTAAATTAGTGAACATACTAAAGCCATCTTCGGTTTGTTTAGGAATACTCGTGGATGTAGCAGTCCTGCAGGGAGGTTGTGGGAGCAACAGCTCCTGTCTTTGCTCAGCCCTGCAGGACTCGTCAAGAATTGGAGGAAGTGTCAAAAGTCGGTGGTAGAGTCATTTTCTGTGGAAGAATTGCAGAGGGGTCTGGGCCTGGCCCGGCGCCGGAGCGGGGCCTAATCCTCGAGCTGTCCCGGGGCGCAGGCACCGAACAGCCTGCCCAGAGCCCTGAGCATCTGCCTGAAACGAGAGGGACGTTTCCTGGGGACCCAAGTCTGTGTCGCTGCCTCTGCCACCTGCTTGCGCAAGGCGGGAGGAGCTGCAGCCCCTCGGGGGGCCTGAGCCTCCAGCTGGGGAGGGCAGGGGCTGGGGGGGCGGCAGGGCCTCTCTGGGGCAGGGCCCTGGCTCCGTGTCCCTGCCTCTGCCTTTGCCACCTGCTTGTCCAAGGCGGGAGGAGCTGCAGCCCCGTGGGGGATCTGGGCTGCCGGCCGGGGAGGGGAGACACAGACCCGGGGAGGGGAGACACAGAGCCGGCGCTCAGCCCACGCCTCGCGAGGGACGGGCATTGGGAGCCCCTCTTCCACAAGGATTCCCAGCCTGTGTTCCGTGCCTTGACCCTGGGACAGCTCCAGGAAGCTCAGTTCTTCCCACTCGTCCTCCTCAGGGCGCAAGGGCTTGACCCCGAAGCTGCGGATGGTCATGCGTTCCCAGTCCAGCAGCGTGAGCTCCCTGTCACTGTCGTCTTCCCACCGGGACAGTATTGAGGGTCTGTAGACTTCCCAGTCAGAAAACTCTTGGCCAAAGGAGTCTTCGTCTTCGGAAAGCTCTTCGGCAATGGAGTCTTCCCAGTCGGACAGTAGTTCTTGGAAGCCACTGAATTTTCCTTGGAACTGCCCTTCCATGCTGGTTTCTTCCGACTCGGTCAGTTCTGGGTAGCTACTGCCATTTCCATGGGATTGCTCTTCCTCGCTGGATTCTTCCCACTTGAGCAGTTTTTGGAAGGCGCTGACTTTTCTCTGGAACTGCTCTTCCTCACTGGATTCTTCCCGGTCCGATGGTTCTTGGCAGATCTTCACTCCTCCATGGGACAGCCCTCCCTTGCTGTCAGGCAGCTCTTCCCAGTCAGCCACTTCTTTGTACTTCTTCACTTCTTGGGACTGCCCTTGCTCGAGGTTTTCTTCCCAGTCCGACACTTCCTGGTAGCTCTTCACTTCTGCTCGGGACTGCTCTTCCTCAATGTATTCTTCCCAGTCGGACACTTCCTGGCATCTCCTGGATTCTCTCTGGACTCCCCCTTGCTTGACGTTTTCTTCCCAGTCTGACACTTCCTGGTAGCTCTTCACATCTCCGTGGGACAGCTCTTCCTCACTGTAGTCTTCCCAGTCGGATACTTCTTGGCGTCTCCTGGATTCTCCCTGGGACTGCTCTTTCTCCATGTTTTCTTCCCAGCCGGACACTTCTTGGCGTCTCTTGGATTCTCCCTGGGACTGCTCTTTCTCCATGTTTTCTTCCCAGTCAGACACCTCTTGGTAGCTCTTCGCTCCTCTGTGGGACAGCTCTTCCTCGCTGCATTCTTCCCAGTCGGACACTTCTTGGAAGCTTCTCTTTTTTCCCTGGGACTGCTCTTGCTTGATGTTTTCCTCCCAGTCGGACTCTTCTCGGTAGCTCTTTACTTCCCCCTGGGGCTCCTCTTCCTCGCTGTATCCGTCCCAGTCGGACAGTTCCTGGTGGCTCTTGACTGGTCCAGGGGACGGCTCCTGCTCACTGCGCTCTCCCCCTTGGGACACTTGCTGGTAGGTTTTGGTTTCTTCTTGGGACAGATCTTGCTCTTCCTCATCTTCCCATTGGAAAATCTCTTGGTCAACATAATATTTCCAATCTTGGCCCTCCCCAACCACGGCCTCCTCCTGCTGCTCACGGAGGGCCTGGGCTTCCAGGCTGGGAGCTGAGAGGCTGAAGGGGCTGCAGGGGCTCCGTGGGGCCAGGACCAGGCTCCCTTCCCTTTCTGCTGTAAATGTTGATATTGTTTCAGTATCCCAGGTCTGTTCCAGGTCTTCCTGTTCCTCCCGCTCTTGGCCAGATCCCTTAAGCTTAGCCTTGATCAGGACTTCACTGGTGCTGGACTGGTCTGTATCCAGCAGGGCCTGGCTGCCCTCTGAGGGGCTCTGTAGGGCAGGGACCAGGCTCCCTTCCCTTTCTGCTGTAAATGTTGTTACTGTTTCCGTATCCGTGGCTTGTTCCATGTCTCCCTGTTCCTCCAGCTGCTGCTCAGATCCCTGCATCACAAGCTCAGCCTCGCTCAGGATCTCAGGGGTGATTTGCTGGTCTGTGCCCAGCAGGGCCTGGCTGCCCTCTGAGGGGCTCTGTGGGGCAGGGACTGGGCTCTCTATCCCTGCAGCTGTTTCTTGTGTTTCTGCAGCTGTGCTTTGTTCCAGGTCTCCCTGTTTCTCCAGTTCCTGGCTGGATCCCTGGACCACAAGCTCAGCCTCGCTCAGGGTCTCAGTGGTGATTTCCTGGTCAGTGCCCAGCGGGGCCTGGCTGCCCTCTGAGGGGCTCTGGGGGGCAGGGACCGGGCTCTGTGTCTCTGCTGCTCTTTCCTGCATTTCTGCAGCTGTGGTTTCTTCCAGGTCTCCCTGTTCCTCCAGCTGCTGCTCAGATCCCTGCATCACAAGCTCAGCCTCGCTCAGGATCTCAGGGGTGATTTGCTGGTCACTGCCCAGCGGGGCCTGGCTGCCCTCTGAGGGGCTCTGGGGGGCAGGGACCGGGCTCTCTGTCCCTGCTGATGGCACCAGCTCCCCAAAGCTTGGAGAACCTTCTGCCTTTGTCTCCTCAGGAGCCACAGGCTCCTGGGGCTCCTCCTCCTCAGCAGCTCCATCTGGGGCAGGAGCTGCTGGCTCAGCCTCCGTGGGACTCAGCGGGGCAGGAGCTGGACTGGGCAGGTCCTGGGCTGCCTCTGCTGCCACCGCTGTGCCCACACTGCTGGGAGAGCTGGGCCTCTCTTGGCGAACAGGCTGGGCATCCTCCTGGCTCCCTGGGCCCAAGGCCTTGTCAGAGATGATAGAGGTGATGTCCTCTTCCCACTGGGACAGCTGTGGGTCTCTGACCTCTTCCCCTTGGGACAGGTCCTGGTCAGTGGATGATTTCCACTCTTTCTCCTCCCCAGCCAAGGTTCCCTCCTCAGTCTCTTGCACAGACAGGACTGACCTCTCCTCTGTGTCCTGGTGCTCACTGGCAACCAGGACTTCCAGGCTGGAAGCCACGGGGCTGGGAGGGGAGCAGGGGCTGAGTGGGGCAGAGACCGGGCTCTCTGTACTCTCTGCTGGAATTGTTAGCAATTCTGCAGCTGTGCTTTCCTCCAGGTCTCCCTGTTCCTCTTGCTCCTGGCTGGATCCCTGGATCTCAAGCTCAGCCTTCTTCAGGATCTCAGTACTGATGCCGTCGGCCATGTCCAGCAGGACCTGGCTGCCCTCTGAGGGGCTCTGGGCGGCAGGGACTGGGCTCTCTGTCCCTGCTGCTCTTTCCTGCATTTCCACAGCTGTGGTTTCTTCCAGGTCTCCCTGTTCCTCCAGCTGCTGCTCAGATCCCTGCATCACAAGCTCAGCCTCGCTCAGGATCTCAGGGGTGATTTCCTGGTCAGTGCCCACCAGGGCCTGGCTGCCCTCTGAGGGGCTCTGTGGGGCAGGGACCGGGCTCTCTATCCCTGCAGCTGTTTCTTGCATTTCTGCAGCTGTGCTTTGTTCCAGGTCTCCCTGGTTCTCCAGCTCCTGGCTGGATCCCTGGATCTCAAGCTCAGCCTTTGTCAGGATCTCAGTGGTCATGAGCTCAGCCATGTCCAGCAGGGCCTGGCTGCCCTCTGAGGGGCTCCGTGAAGGAGGGACCAGGCTCTCTATCCCTGCTGCTCTTTCCTGCATTTCTGCAGCTGTGCTTTCTTCCATGGCTCCCTGTTCCTCCAGCTGCTGCTCAGATCCCTGGACCACAAGCTCAGCCTCGCTCATGATCTCAATGGTAATTTGCTGGCCCAGCAGGGCCTGGCTGCCCTCTGAGGGGCTCTGGGGGGCAGGGACCGGGCTCTCTGTCCCTGCTGATGGCACCAGCTCCCCAAAGCTTGGAGAACCTTCTGCCTTTGTCTCCTCAGGAGCCACAGGCTCCTGGGGCTCCTCCTCCTCAGCAGCTCCATCTGGAGCAGGAGCTGCTGGCTCAGCTTCTGTGGGACTCAGCGGGGCAGGAGCTGGACTGGGCAGGTCCTGGGCTGCCTCTGCTGCCACCGCTGTGCCCACACTGCTGGGAGAGCTGGGCCCCTCCTGGGGAACAGCCAGGGTGTCCCCAGCGCTCACAGGTTTGTCCCAACTGCTGTAACCGACATCAGCTCCCCCCTGAGACAGCCTTTTGTCACTCACGACTTCCCTTTGGGGCAGCTCTTGGGCACTGTACTCTTCTTTCTGGGGTTGCTCCTTTTCTGTCTTGTCTACGACTTGGAAGAGCTCTGAATCTCTCTTGTCTTCCCATTGGTACAGTCCACGGGCTCCCACATCTTCCTGCTGAGTCAGGTCATGGTATCTCTGACTTTCCTGCTGGGTCAGGTCTTGGAGTCCCACATCTTTCCACTGAGGAAGTTCTTGGCCTCTGAGACCTCCCCATTGGGACAGCTCCGAATAGGTCTCTTCTTCTTCCCTTTGGGGCCGCTCTCGGGTTCTCACACGTCCTTCCCTTTGGGGCAGGTCTCGGGTTCTCACACGTCCTTCCCTTTGGGGCAGCTCTCGGGTTCTCACACGTCCTTCCCTTTGGGGCAGCTCTCGGATTGTCAAACGTTCTTCCCACTGGGTCACCTCGTGGTATCTCACACCCCTTTCTTCCCATTCGTGCAGCTCCTGGCGTCTCACAGTCTCTTCCCGGCGGTACAGCTCCGGGTGTCTCCCACAACGCCATTGGGAACGTTCTCGGACTTTCATGTCTTCTTCAAATCTGTAGAGCTCTTGAGGTCTCCTGGCTCTCTGGTGGGAACATTCTTGGACTCTCACTTCTTCTAGCCATTCACAGAGCTCTTGGAGTGTCTCATCTTCTGTCTCATCTTCTGTCTCATCTTCCCATTCGGTAACATCTCCGAATTGGGAAAGGTCTGGATCGGTGTCGTAATTCCAGTCGTCATCCCCGCGGCCGAAGGACCCCCCCTCAGTCCCTGACAGTGGCAGGTCTGACTCACCCACTGTCCCCAGCCAGTGCTCGCTGAGTGACTCGTCTGCCAGCCAGCTGGGCAAGGGGCTGTGAGGCTGGGACTTGGGCTTCCTGTTGTCCTCAGCCATCTCTGTTGTCCTCTGCAGGGAGCTGCTCCTCCTTGGAGAGGGGCTCTCGTGGTTGTGGGCACCCCAGGGCTCTGTGCCCCTCAAACCCCCGTGGGCAGGACAGAGCTCTGTGATGTCACAAGGGTCTCTGGGCACCCCCATGTCCCACCTCACAAAGGGCCCTGGAAGGTGCCCGTGTCACAAAGGGCCACCCCCGGCCCCCCTTGGACCCCCCCAGCTGCCCAGACCCGGCCCGGGGCAGCCCCGGCACTTGTGGCCTTGCAGCCCCCGCTGTGCCCGGAGCCCTGGCAGGGACTGGCACCAATGGGGAATGTCCTTTCAGTGGAAAGTGCCGGGAGAAAGCACAGGGCAAAACAGTCTCTGCCCTCCAGGTACTGCTTCTCTCTAGGAAAGTGTTCTAAGGAAAAAAAGCAAATGTTGAACAAGTCTGAGGAAAGGCATTGCCCGCAGCTGGTGCTGCCAGCCCAGCACCCCATCCCCGCGGTGGCACCCGCAAAGGGGCCCTGCCTGTGCAGGGCACGGGGCGAGTGCAGCACTCGGCTGAGCCTTGCAAGATTTTCCAAACTATTATGTGGAGCTTTGGTGTTTCCCAGGGGCTCCAGGAGAACCCGGGCTCCCTGCACCCACTTGGGACTGTTCCCCGCTCCTGTGCCGCCCTATTTCCCACTGGGGTGGAGGTGACAGTCGCCGGGCTGTGACCCTGCACGCAGAGGGGATTTGAACACTGGGAAATACAGGGCGGACGTGTGTGATCCCACTCCACGGGGTCATTCCTGGCATGAGGGGGGACCCGCGGGGGCGGCCATGGCCGAGCACAGCCCGCAGCACCCGCGGGCCCGGCCCGGCGCCAAAGGCCGCCCGCTCCGCCCCGGGGCGGCGCTGAGGGAGCGGCGCCGCCATCGCTGCGCCCTCAGGGCTCGGGGGGAGAGCGGCTCCCGCCAGCGCCCTTCGGCCGGGGCACGGACTAATAAAGGGGCAAAAAAATGCTGCTCAGGAACATCAGTGGAGCTCCGTTCGGAAACCAGCCCCAAGTGCTGTGGGCGGGGGTGTCAAAGTCACCACACGGCTGCACCAGCGCGAAAATCACCTGTGGAGATACCGGGACCGGTGGAGTGAGAGGTGAGACCAAACACACAGGGTTTAGTCTTCTATCCCAAACAGACTAAAAAGCTAGGTGTTTTATTCCTAGTTTGTTGGTCTGTTTGGGATAGAAAACTAATTTGTATTATTGCACTGGCCAGTTGTACATGGAGTTCAAGATGCACAATAAATAAATAAATAATAAATAAATTCCGGCTAAATCGCTTTGGGAAAGGGGAATGGGTTTCATGGTCACTTCATCAAACATTTGCTCAGGGCGAAGAGTCTGTTCCCTCTCCAGCGTGGGGCTCCTCCCATGGGAGACAGTTCTCCAGGAACTTCTCTTCCTTGAGTCCTTCCACAGGATCAGTCCTTAAGGAATCGACCCAGTGGGGGTCCCTTCCATGGGGTCAGTCCTTCAGGAATCAAAGTCACCACACGCGGCTGCACCAGCGCGAAAACCACCTGCGGAGACGCCGCGACCTGGCCCCAGCTGTGCGAGGTGTGAGACTGAACACACAGGGTTTCGTCTTTTATCCCAAATACACTAAAACCCCAGGGGTTTTTCTCCCGGATGAACTAGGCTTTTAGTCTCTTTGGGATAGACATCTAGTTTTGCTCGCGGCACTCTGTAGTACATAGGGTTCAAAAGGCATAATAAATAATAAAAACAAATCATAAACAAAAAATTACTGCTGAATAACGTGAATGGAGTTTGGAATCCATTTCAAAACCTGCCGCAGGTCGGGTGTATGAAATTCACCACAGGGCAAAAATCACCTGTGGGGATACCAGGACCAGCTTGAGTGAGAGGTGCCACTAAACACACGGGGCTTAGTCTCTTTGGGGTAAAACCCCCTAATTCTTAAGTCTATTTGCAATAGAAACTAGTTCTGATTGCACTAGTCTGTTGTACCTGGGGTTCAAAAGGCACAATAAATAATAATTATAAACACATGTAGTTCAAAAGGCATAAAGAGGTAGTCAGGATCAACGTATCTACTGGCGAAAGATTTAGCAACAGAAAAACTAGGCTGCAAGAAAAAAGCTTCCTTTTACAGTTTTGTCAGTGGGTTTTTGATTTTTTTTAAACTTATTTTCTTGTTTCCTCTGATCTGGTTCATTTTGCAAACATTTAAGCTCAAATGAGCAAGAGCAGGAAAAAAGGCAACAGCTGGGCACAAAGAATCAGTGTGGGACTAAGGGTTCACGTGCTTTAGGCGTGTGTGCACACACGTGTGTAAAAGCATCACTTCTTTTCAGGGCTGCATCACATCACACAAGCAGTAAAATCAAATTTCCTCCTGTTTTCATACACTTCCCGTGCATCATTTACCAGGAACCTGCTCCAGGTCCAGTGAGTGGCAGAAGACAGATTAATTGTGGCTCCGGATGATTTATTTTCACTCCAATTTTCCAATTCCTTGCACTGGTTTGAAGTGCCAGTGTCCACTGTTTGAGCCATCCACGGTGAAAATGAACAGCACAGCTGAGCAGGAAAAAAGGGTTTTGCTTCCAAATCAGAGCAAGTGGGAAGGCACAAGCTTTGAGGAAGGAAAAATGTGGTTCCTTCCCAATTCCTGACTTGCAGAGGGGTCACAGTCATGGATAATGCTGGAGAGACAGAGCTGGGCTGGGCTGAGATGAAAAGAGGGGAAGTGAAAGTGCACAGCACAGGGAAGGTATCAAAGGGAACAAGGCTCCATAAAGTGCCTCAGCCATCCGACGGACACAATTCCATGGGTTCATGGGCTCTGGATTTGCCAGGTTTGCTGCCTCGCTGCTGAAACAAAGGAGCTGGTGGTGAAACTCCTGCTGTCACTACCATGTCCTTCCCCTCTGGCATCCCTGCCAACCTGGATGGTTTTACCTGTCTTTCCATTAAGTAACGACTTTAAATGTGGATTTAAGTCTTGAAGTGTAGAATTTAGTCTCAGTGCACTCAGAAGGAAAAGGGAACTATAAAGGTGACTCCCAGTGGGGGCTGGAGAAAGAAAGGCTGATAAAAGCCACCAATTTTTTCCCTTTAATTTCTTACAGTTGAAAACCATGTGTCCCTGCTGCTCTTTAATGTGTTTCTGCTCCCGTGCTTTGTTCCATGGCTCCCTGTTCCTCCAGCTGCTGCTCAGATCCCTGGATCTCAAGCTCAGCCTCGCTCACGATCTCAGGGGTGATTTCCTGGTCAGTGCCCAGCGGGGCCTGGCTGCCCTCTGAGGGGCTCTGGGGGGCAGGGACCGGGCTCTGTGTCTCTGCTGCTCTTTCCTGCATTTCTGCAGCTGTGCTTTGTTCCAGGTCTCCCTGTTCCTCCAGCTGCTGCTCAGATCCCTGCATCACAAGCTCAGCCTCGCTCAGGATCTCAGGGGTGATTTGCTGGTCACTGCCCAGTGGGGCCTGGCTGCCCTCTGAGGGGCTCTGTGGGGCAGGGACTGGGCTCTCTGTCCCTGCAGCTGTTTCTTGTATTTCTGCAGCTGTGCTTTGTTCCATGTCTCCCTGTTCCTCCAGCTGCTGCTCAGATCCCTGCATCACAAGCTCAGCCTCACTCAGGATCTGAGGGGTGATTTCCTGGTCTGTGCCCAGCAGGGCCTGGCTGCCCTCTGAGGGGCTCTGTGGGGCAGGGACTGGGCTCTCTGTCCCTGCAGCTATTTCTTGCATGTCTGCTCCCGTGCTTTGTTCCAGGTCTCCCTGTTTCTCCAGCTGCTGCTCAGATCCCTGGATCTCAAGCTCAGCCTTTGTCAGGGTCTCAGTGGTGATTTGCTGGTCAGTGCCCAGCGGGGCCTGGCTGCCCTCTGAGGGGCTCTGGGGGGCAGGGACCGGGTTCTGTGTCTCTGCTGCTGTTTCTTGCATTTCTGCAGCTGTGCTTTCTTCCATGGCTCCCTGTTCCTCCAGCTGCTGCTCAGATCCCTGGATCTCAAGCTCAGCCTCGCTCACAATCTCAGTGGTGATTTGCTGGTCAGTGCCCAGCAGGGCCTGGCTGCCCTCTGAGGGGCTCTGGGGGGCAGGGACCGGGCTCTCTGTCCCTGCTGATGGCACCAGCTCCCCAAAGCTTGGAGAACCTTCTGCCTTTGTCTCCTCAGGAGTCACAGGCTCCTGGGGCTTTTCCTCCTCAGCAGCTCCATCTGGGGCAGGAGCTGCTGGCTCAGCCTCCGTGGGACTCAGCGGGGCAGGAGCTGGACTGGGCAGGTCCTGGGCTGCCTCTGCTGCCACCGCTGTGCCCACACTGCTGGGAGAGCTGGGCCCCTCCTGGGGAACAGCCAGGGTGTCCCCAGCACTCACAGGTTTGTCCCAACTGCTGTAACCAACATCAGCTCCCCCCTGAGACAGCCTTTTGTCACTCACGACTTCCCTTTGGGGGAGCTCTTGGGCACCATACGCTTCTTTCTGGGGTTGATCCTTGTCTGTCTTGTCTACGACTTGGAAGAGCTCTGAATCTCTCTTGTCTTCCCATTGGTACAGTCCACGGGCTCCCACATCTTCCTGCTGAGTCAGGTCATGGTATCTCTGACTTTCCTGCTGGGTCAGGTCTTGGAGTCCCACATCTTCCCACTGAGGAAGTTCTTGGCCTCTGAGACCTCCCCATTGGGACAGCTCCGAATAGGTCTCTTCTTCTTCCCTTTGGGGCAGCTCTCGGGTTCTCACACGTTCTTCCCTTTGGGGCGGCTCTCGGATTGTCACACGTTCTTCCCATTGGATCAGCTCATGGTATCTCATGCCACCTTCTTCCCATTCGTGCAGCTCCTGGCGTCTCACAGTCTCTTCCCGGCGGTACAGCTCCGGGTGTCTCCCACAACACCACTGGGAAAGTTCTCGGACTCTCACGTCTTCTTCAAATCTGTAGAGCTCTTGAGGTCTCCTTGCTCTCTGGTGGGAACATTCTTGGACTCTCACTTCTTCTTGCCATTCATAGAGTTCTTGGAGTGTCTCATCTCCTGTCTCATCTTCTGTCTCATCTTCTGTCTCATCTTCTTCCCATTCGGTAACATCTCCGAATTGGGAAAGGTCTGGATCGGTGTCGTAATTCCAGTCGTCATCCCCGCGGCCGAAGGACCCCTCCTCAGTCCCTGACAGTGGCAGGTCTGACTCACCCACTGTCCCCAGCCAGTGCTCGCTGAGTGACTCGTCTGCCAGCCAGCTGGGCAAGGGGCTGGAGCACTGGGAGTTGGAGTTCCTCCTGTTCTCATCCATCTCTGTTGTTCTCTGCAGGGAATTGTTCCCTCCTTGGCGAGGGGCTCTCGTGGTTGTGGGCACCCCCGGGCTCTGTGCCCCTCAAGCACCCGTGGGCAGGGCAGGGCTCTGTGATGTCACAAGGGTCTCTGGGCACCCCCATGTCCCACCTCACAAAGGGCCCTGGAAGGTGCCCGTGTCACAAAGGGCCACCCCCAGCACAGAGCCCTGTGGTGGGCACAGAGCCCTGGGGTGCCCACAACCACGAGAGCCCCTCTCCAAGGAGGAATCAGCTCCATGGATCTCTCTCCAGCAGAGGACAACAGAGATGGATAAGAAGAAGAGGAAGCCCAAGTCCCAGTGCTCCAGCCCCTTGCCCAGCTGGCTGGCAGACGACACACCCAGGAGGGGGCTGTCCCAGTGGGAAGAAGATGTGACACTTCAAGAACTCTATGAATGGGAAGAAGAAGTGAGAGTCCGAGAACCTTCCCAGCGGAGAGGCCGGAGACGCCGAGAGCTCTACAAATTTGAAGAAGATGTGAGAGTCCGAGAACTTTCCCAGTGGAGTTGTGGGAGACACCCGGAGCTGTACCACCGGGAAGAAACTGTGACAGGCCAGGAACGGTACGAATGGGAAGAAGGTGGTGTGAGATACCACGAGGTGACCCAATGGGAAGAACGTGTGACAGTCCAAGAGCTGCCCCAAAGGGAAGACGTGAGTGACAAAAGGCTGTCTCAGGGGGGAGCTGATGTCGGTTACAGCAGTTGGGACAAACCCATGTGCCCGGTGAGCGCTGGGGATGCCCAGGCTGTTCCCCAGGAGGGGCCCAGCTCTCCCAGCAGTGTGGGCACAGCGGTGGCAGCAGAGGCAGCCCAGGACCTGCCCAGTCCAGCTCCTGCCCCGCTGAGTCCCACGGAGGCTGAGCCAGCAGCTCCTGCCCCAGATGGAGCTGCTGAGGAGGAGGAGCCCCAGGAGCCTGTGGCTCCTGAGGAGACAAAGGCAGAAGGTTCTCCAAGCTTTGGGGAGCTGGTGCCATCAGCAGGGACAGAGAGCCCGGTCCCTGCCCCCCAGAGCCCCTCAGAGGGCAGCCAGGCCCTGCTGGGCACTGACCAGCAAATCACCCCTGAGATCGTGAGTGAGGCTGAGCTTGTGATGCAGCAGCTGGAGGAACAGGGAGACCTGGAAGAAAGCACAGCTGCAGAAATGCAAGAAAGAGCAGCAGAGACACAGAACCCAGTCCCTGCCCCACAGAGCCCCTCAGAGGGCAGCCAGGCCCTGCTGGACATGGCTGAGCTCATCACCGCTGAGATCCTACATGAGGCTGAACTTGTGATCCAGGGATCTGAGCAGCAGCTGGAGGAACAGGGAGACCTGGAACAGGGTGCAGAAATGCAAGAAAGAGCAGCAGAGACACAGAGCCCAGTCCCTGCCCCACAGAGCTCCTCAGAGGGCAGCCAGGCCCTGCTGGACATGGCTGAGCTCATGACCACTAAGATCCTGAGTGAGGCTGAACTTGTGATCCAGGGATCTGAGCAGCACCTGGAGGAACAGGAAGACCTGGGACAAAGCACAGCTGCAGAAATGCAAGAAAGAGCATCACGGACAGAGAGCCCAGTCCCTGCCCCCCAGAGCCCCTCAGAGGGCAGCCAGGTCCTACTGGACATGGCCGAGCTCATTGCCACTGAGATCCTGAAGAAGGCTGAGCTTGAGATCCAGGGATTTGACCAGCAGCTGGAGGAACAGGGAGACATGGAACAAACTGGGGCTACAGGAATGTTAACAACAGGGACCGCAGACAGGCTGGAGAGCCTGGACTCTCTCCCACACAGCCCCTGCTGCCTCTCCTCCCCTGTGTTCACCTATGTGGAAGCCAAGGCCCTCAGTGGGCAGCAGGCAGGGGGAGAAGGGGGGACAATCCTGGCAGTCCAGGAGACCGAGGAGGGGGCGTTTGCCGAGGATGAGAACAACTGGAAATTCTACGACGAGCTGGAGCTTTGCAAGTGGCAGGATGAGAAAGAAGTCGATAGCTACCAGTGGGAAGACGGCATCGGCCAAGAGCTTTCCCAGGAGGAAGACTGCATTGGCCAAGAGTTGTCTGAAAGGGAAGTTAAGAGACACTCAGAGCAGTCCCAGCGTGGAGATGACAGTGACAGGGAGCTCTCACTGGAGAACTGCGAATGTGTGACTGCCCACAACACCCAGGAGGAGGACGAGTGGGAAGAGTTGGGTGTCCTGGAGCTGTCCCAAGGAGAAGGCACGGAACACAGGCTGGGAATCCTTGCGGAAGAGGGGCTCCCGGTGCCCGTCCCTCGCGAGGCGTGGGCTGAGTGCCAGGCGCCCGCCCCATGCTCAGTGGGGCCAGTCTGTGCATCCACTCCCCAGCCCGAGGCTCAGGCTGCAGCTCCTCCCACCTTGGGCAGGCAGGTGGCAGAGGCAGGGACACAGACCCAGGGCCCCTCTAGTTTCTGGCGGGTGCTCGGGGCTCTGCTCAGGCTGTTCCACGCCTGCAGGCCGGGACAGCCCCAGGATTAGGCCCCGCTCCAGCGCCGGGCCAGGCCTGGACAGAGCAGCTGGCCCGGAGCCTGCCCCGCACCCCGAGGGCACTGCATGCACATGTTCCTGCAGGATGACCAATCCCTGGCTGCTTGGGATCACTCCAAGTGGATCTCGCCGAGACCAAACAGTTTCCGACGTGGCAGCGCCAAACCAGCGCCGATGGGGGACGGCTCGTGCCAGGGTGGCTCAGCGGGGAACCACAGGGAATCCTCAAGGCTGGCAGAGACCTTCAGGATCATCCAGTGCCGCCGTCCCCCAGCACCACCAGAATCACCCTGAAACCACGTCCCTGAGGGCCACATCCAGGTGCTTCTCCAGCACTTCCAGAGACACCACCGACCACCTTCCGACTCCACCACTGACCAGCGACACCTCCTCAATTCCTGACTGCTCCTGCTGTTAGGAATGAGCCAGCCCAGGACATATTGCTCCCAGAACCTCCCTGCAGGACTGCCACGTCCACAGCTATTCCACAGCAAATGAAAGTTGGCTAAAATAAATAATTGTTATAGCAAATTATTAAAAAACAATAAATTAAAAATAAAATATAATAAAAAACCTAAATAATTTGACGTCATAGTAATTATGAATATATACTCCAGCATATTATATATATATAATGATACCATCTATTATAATTACTTATAATAATTAAATCTCGCCTTATATTCCTTAAAATATTACCACAGTTGCAATACGTTTGCCCAGGAAGTTGCAAAGAAAATAAAGACAGAACACTGCTCAAACTACTTAAGAATTTGTATATTTTCTACTTAAATTTGTAAGGCATAAGAAAAGAGTGTACAGATTTCGGTTTTTATCTACTCTAGATACTTATGCATTTGAAAACTCCAGTACCAGTCAGTGATCTGTGACGAGGGACTGCTCAGCTCCCAACCCCAGCAGGAGAGTTCCCAGTTGAGGGTGGCAGGGCAGGCGTGTCCGTCCTCTCTAAAGGCAAACTAAACCTGCACGTTGAACCTGACTGACAGATAATTGGGATCCAAACACACCTGCCCCAGGACTGCCCAGCAAAGCCTCCACAGACACGCTCTGACCCTCACTGTTGCCTTTAAGTTAAGCTTTGTTAGGAAGCAAGCGCAGGTTTGACGTGGGCAAGCAGCAGTGATTAGCCCTTCAGAGTCTTTTTGTGGCTGCAGGAGCTGTAGAGGCCCTTTTTAGCTGTTCTCACGTGTTTTTTGTCCACAAAAATCCACTGGAAGGAAACCTTTAGGTGACCCTGTGACTGAAGTGTTGCACCCTCTACTCCTGTGCCCCTGCCGAGGGCCTGCTCAGCAGGAAACAGCTGTGGATGTCACTTTTTGGAGTCCATAAATCTTCTAGAATCAGAATGGTTTGGGTTGGGAGGGACCTTAAAGCTCATCTGGTTCCCTCTGACTATCTCCTGCTCTCTCTCTCTCTGACACCTCTTTTCTCCCTGTGTCTCTGCCTCACATTTGTTGTTGAATAAAACTCGTATTTCTAAATGAAGTCCGTGTGTTGTCACACCCCTGGGCAGCCCCTGCCAAGGCCTGACCACCCTTTCCAGCAGGAAATTCCTCCTCCTGTCCAACCTGAGCCTCCCCTGGCACAGCCTGAGGCCGTTCCCTCTCCTCCTGTCCCTTGTTCCCCGGGAGCAGAGCCCGACCCCCCCCGGCTCCCCCTCCTGTCAGGGAATACAGAAGGATTGTTCCTTTCTTAGACCCTCTGCCCCTCTTTGCTTTCCAAATCCAAATAAGAGCCATGGAAGGATGACAAAGGAACCCCACATCAGTATCTGGGGATGGATGTTCACCCACATCTTCTGTCTGTAGTGACAACCAAGTCTCTCCCTCCTCCTCCCTCATCAAATATCTAAGGGCAGATAGTCCCCAGGCCAGAATTCCTGTCTTTGGGAGCACCGGGGGGGAAGTTTGATGGGTTATGCAGCCCCGAGAGAGGAGAAGGCAGGAATTCTTCTTTGTTTATTTTCCATGCCAAAGGAAAGGAGCCGTGCCAGGTGAAAAGGAGTTGTCCCTGGTCGACCTGCCCTGCAGGTCTCTGGCACGGAGGACAAACTCTGGGGACACCAGGTGTGGTCCCACTGCAGGTTGGCCTCTCTCCTGGCTTAGCCAGGTGCTGCTGGAGCAAAGAGAAACCTTTCCTTGACTGTGGAGTGTGGCAACAACTGTGGGACAGAGAGCAGGGGCAGCAACACCCCCAGGTGAAAGGTGGGGCACAAACAGGGCTGTTCCTGCCCCAAATTCAGCCGTTCAGCCTGTGGGTCTGCTATCACTGTGTGACCTACACTGCTTCCCAAAATTCAGCAGATCTTTAATACTGGTGGATGCCTTTACCTTGGAAGGGACAAGAGACACTCGTGTGTGCAAGACACACCAACATGCACACAGAGAGCTGAAGAAGGAGCAAACAATGCAGTACAATCATTATAAAAGGATTGGCCGATAGCACAACTTAAAATCACCCCGCAGAACATCTGCTGGCTTTTGCTTTCCCGTCTCAGGAGCAAGGAACAGAGGCATCTTCTGGTTACTTCATTCTCTTGGCCACATCCAAATAGGCATATTCAATCTCTTGATCAGCAGGGCAAGTGTTTGTGAATTCATCTCTTGCGTATGCATTGTTCAAGTATCTGGAAATCCCTGTCATTTCAGGGGGGAAATCGAAATTTCGGTATTTTTTCGCCACGACCTTTTAATGAAAAGACAAAAGAAAACAAGAAAATGTCATTACACACATGGTCTGTTAAAAAAAAACCAAAAACACAAAAACACACAAAAAACAAACCACAAAAAAACCCCCCAAACCTACTCTTTATGCCCATTGCAAATTTACAATGTGTGGGTCTGTTGTTGTTGATGACAAAGGGAAAAGGAAAAGGAAAGACATAAAAAACAGGGAAGACGTGGGATGAAGAAAGCTGGTGAACAAGCAAACTCCTTGCAAAGGATTTATTTGGTGTGTATATATATATATATATATATATATATATATATATATTTTTAGAGTTGTGCAAAGCCATGTGGACCAGTAAAGCACACCTGGGAGAGATACAGGTTAAACCAGCAAACTTAAACCAGAATTAAGAGAATAATCTTACAGGAATAAACTGGCCTATGCCTGGAGGACAAATTTCAATGGAAATCCTCGATTTCAAATGATTGGGGGAAAACAACTCTTGGCCCATCCCTAATCCCTGCCTGTGGTGTGACAGTGTGACATTCCTGCTCGGTCCTCCTCCAGCCGTGCCCCGAATCAAGGTGACTGTCCCTGTGCTGACCTCAGGGCTTGCTGGGCCTGAGCTCTGTGTGGGCGTGGGAAAGGGCTGCTCCCTGCAATAGGATCAGCCAGGAGGTGGCTGGGCAAAGTTTTCACTTGTGGAGGTGTCGGGAAGCAGTTGGATCCACTCTTCCTGTGACGGAACAGGAGCCTGGAAGGAAGCTTCCCAAAGTGACCTTGTTTGTCTGAAAACCAGGGAGAGTCCTGTGTGGTCATTTCTCTTCTAGAGCCCAGAATCACAGAAGGTTTGGGTTGGAAGGGACCTTAAAGACCATCCAGTTCCTGCCATGGGCAGGGACACTTTCCACCAGCCCAGGTTGCTCCAAGTTTATCCAGCCTGGCCTTGGACACTTCCAGGGATCCAAGGGCAGCCACAGCTTCTCTGGGCAACCTGTGCCAGGGCCTCATCACCCTCACAGGGAAGAATTTCTTCCCAATATCCCATCTAACCCTGACCTCTGGCAGTTTGAAGCCATTCCCCCTCGTCCTGTCACTCCCTGCCCTTGTGAAAAGTCCCTCTCCAGCTTTTTGGAATAACCCAGGGATGGGCTTTGCCCACACCGGTCCCGGGTCACAGGGACTCTTTGGGGCATGTGGATGCTCCACAGTGCTACAAGAAGAGGTTGGGAGCCTTGGCTGGGAGGCAGTGGGTGGTGGCCACCCTGTCAGCCATGTGGGGATGCTCAGCAAAGCCAGAGCTTGGGATTAAACGTGGGAGAGACGGGAATTGGAATGGACAATACAACATAACCTTCCTTGGCCGTGGTCATGTGCACTTTGCCTATGAAATGAAAACGAGAACATTTCTCTGCAGCCCTGAATCCCACACTCATTTCACCCTTGTGAGCAGCTCAGTGACTGCAGGCACAGCCCAGACAGGAAAACAGGGATTCCAGAGCCAGAGTCATCAATGCGAGGATTTGCCTGCGAGGAAACGGCTTCGGTGTCCCCGCGCAGCTCCTGGGTGGCCTTGGAACAGAGAAGGATCCCTCTGCCTTCCAGAAAAGGACTGAAGCTGCTGTGCAGGGAGCTAAAAAGGCAAATGCAAACCTTGATTATGTGGAGCTTTGGTAGGAGGTTGCAATCGGCTAAAGTGAGCTCATCTCCATCCAGGAATTTCCGGCTGGAAACGGTGATCTCCTCCGTGCTGTAAGCATCGATTTCGTCAGGCAGGGGGCTGTTTAAATAGTTGTCCAGCTTCCTCAGGGCTTTCAGCAGAGACTTTTCCAAATCTGGGTAAAGACAATCAAAAGATCAGTCGAGCCCGTACCAGGGTCTCGCTGGCACGGAGCAGAAAGGCACCTCCTGCATCCTGTCTCCTGGCACCCACCCAGCTCGCGGGCAGCTGGCCCTGCCAACGCCTGCAATTCCTTTATCCCGAGCTTAACACTTAATGCTGGGATAAGAGCTCTAAAGAGCTCAGGGGGGAGATCTGAGAAAAACCAGCGCGGGGCTGAGTTACCAGGAATGGCTCCTCCAGCCCCGCCGTGGAGCGGGATTTGGCTCTGCCTTCGCACCGGCTCCTGCCTCGGGAGCCACGGGGCCAGTGCTGGCCCGTGGGAAGGACAAGAAGCCACCAGGATGCCACTTTGGGGTGTTCAAAACCAGCCCAGGGAACAGGCCTGAGAGCTGGAGCGCAGAGAGAGAGAATCCCAGAATGGTTCGGGTTGGAAAGGACCTTAAAAGTTCGTCCCGTTCCGACCCCGTGCTGTGGGCAGGGACACCTTCCGCTAGACCTGGTTGCTCCAAACCTGGCCTTGAACACTTCCAGGGGTGGGGAGACAACAACCAACCTGTGCCAGGGCCTCACACCCCTCCCAGGGAAGAATTTCTCCCTAATATCCAATGTAACCCTGCCCTCCTTCAGCTTAAGGCCGCGTGTGGTGGTCGTGAGGGTCCTGCTTTAGAGACCTGGGGCTGGAATCCTCATTTTTAATGGAGGTGGTTCCAGGGGGCTGTGCTTTTGGCAAAGCTGTGGGGCAGCTCCAGCATTACCTGGGAGCTGAAGGAATGAGGAGAGGCTGGAATTGGTGCTCCCATGGTTACAGCTCTATCTGCTTTAACCAACCTTGGGAATCCTCAGTTAAGGCACAGATTCCCACAGCCTCCGGAAAATCACTGAGCTGGAAGTGGGACACCTCCAGCACGGTGTCCTGGAATTGCACAGCTCTGGTTCCCCTCTCCCACCACAGCACTTACTTTCATTTGCATCTTTCCTCGGGTTCTTTATAAACGCAGAGAACTTGGCAAACACGTCATTTCCTGCAGAGTTGGACTCGGGGTGCTTGGGGGCAAGTTTGGGGTACCTGAGGGGTTAAAACAGACAAAGTTGGATAATTAGCCTTTGCTTTCAGCTCCACTAATTAACACTGGGTGACCCCCCAGCACTCAAAGGGAACCATCCTAAACTGAAAATCCCTTGTTTTAAGCCCTGGGGGAAAAGGTGTGTGGGCAGGGACACAGAGCTGCTGGTGGAGGGGCAGCAGGGTTTGGGAAGAGCTGCTGGGGTGGAGAAGGACAGATCAAAACCTCAAAGACTCTCCTGTGCAGCAAGATGGGCCCACCTGGACACTCGAAATGTGTGTTCGCTGCCCTTTGCTTCACAGAATCCCAGAACCATCAAGGCTGGGAGAGACCTCCAGGATCATCCAGTGCCACCCTCACCCAGCACCACCAGGATCACCCCTAATCCATGTCCCCAAGGGCCACATCCAGACACCTCTGGGACACTCCCAGACACAGGGACTCCACCACCTCCCTGGGACACTTATTCCAAGGCCTGACCACTCCTGCAGGGAAAAATTGTTTCTAATCTCTGATCTGAACCTGCCCTGGTGCAATTTAAGGTCGTTTCCTCTTGTCCTGTCCCTTGGGACACCCCAGGGACACCCCTGGCTTCGGGTCTGTTCCACACCAGCCGAAGTTGCCCCTCTCCCTGTCGCCCAAACCAGCCCCTTTGAGCCTCCCCCACACACACGTGCAGCTCTCTGAGGGCCTGAACCCCAAAACTGAGGGGGTTTGGTCACAGACCCCCGTGGAGGGCCCTGAGGGGACGGGGGACACGGTACCGGGGTGGCACCAGCTTCTCTTCCAAGAATTCCTCGATCTTGTTGACGTCGGTTTTCACTTCGCCGTCGAAGGTCATGAAGGGGGGGTTGGTGCCCGGGGCCAGGTTCTGCAGGTCTGCAGGTTTTCTGGGAGGGGGAAGAGAAGGGGTTAATCCCACCAGGAACCACAGCTGTGATTTCTACACTGAAGTGCCGCAAACTAACATTTAAAATCAAAGAATCACAGGATGGTTTGGGCTGGAAAGGACCTGGAAGATCATCCAGTTCCATCCCCTACCATGGGCAGGGACCCGTCCAACCTGGCCTTGGACACTTCCAGGGATCCAGGGGCAGCCACAGCTCCTTTGGGCAACCTGTGCCAGGGCCTCCCCGCCCTCCCAGCCAGGAATTGCTTCCCAATATCCCATCTATCCCTGCCTTCCTTCAGCTCAAGACCATTCCCCTTTGTCTCTGCCCATATAAAAAGTCCCTCTTTTTATAACCCCCTTTAAGGGCCTGGAAAGACCTCTAAGGTCTCCCCAGAGCCTTCCCTTCCACAAGCTGAACACCCCCAGCTCTCCCAGCCCGGCAGAAAAGAGCGGCCCTTTAAAAATCCCCATTTTTTCGGGAGAGTTGTGGCGAAAAGTTCAAATCCCAGAAGTTCGATCCCAGAGCCACAACCTCACCTTTTCAAATCCACGGTGGTGACGTTGAATATGACCCCTTTCAGCCACAGGATCATGAAGAGGCGCTGCGAGAAGGGGCAGTTTCCAATACTTTCCCCATCACTGCCAGCCTGCAGTTGGAAAAATAAAGAGTTCTGTATGTGATGATAACAAATTTTGATGGCAGGGAAGCAGAAAACCCGGATCTGTGAGTACGTAGCACGTTACTTGTCTCTACTAATAGGTAATTTCGTGCAAAATGTCTTTCTGTCCTTCTCCAGACACGCACAGAGAGATGATGAGGAGCCCTGTCCTCTGGGAGATCCTGTTTTCCGTTCAAATGCACGATGGACGTGCCACAGGTTGGGAAACAAAAGGGAAAAATCACAGCAGCCCTCCCGGGGGAAACAGCCCCCACCTGGTTTGTGTGCGGGAACATAAAACCCACCCACGTCACTGCGAGGAATTAAATCAGTTTATGGTCGCGGGAAACAAAGATTTACCAGCCTAAATGGAGGTGGAATGTCTAAAGCACTGAAACAGAATAAATTCATTAAGAACTTCAGACTAAAGGACCGCGGGAGCCCTGGAGAAGGAGGGAAGGAAGAGGAGAAACTCTGTGTGACCACAGAGGTGTTGCCCTCGTGTATTTTGTGTTGGATTTTGTTGAAGGGTTTGTTTAAAGGGTTTGTTAAATTGAGGCGAAGTCTTGCAGAGTTGCTGCTGCCTGAGTGAGGCTTCACTTGTTGGAAGAGATCAGGGTCTAATTTTTAAGCCTGTGATTCCCCTAAAGCCCAGCTTTAAAATTTAGATTAAATGTAAGGGGTAGAAGTATGAAAACCCCCAAGTGTATCATTTATTCAGTTAATAGGTTAATCCATTAAGGTTTGCAGCCCTCACAAGCCAAGAAGGCACATGAATGAAACCATCTCTGCCCGTCATTTCACCTCCCTCAGTGCTATCAAAGAATTCTCAAATATCCCAAAAACTCCTTGATGAACAAACTTTGAGCTGTACAGGGCTCACCTTCACGAAGAGCTCGATGGCTGGAAACAAGTGCCTGTGCTGGAGCAGGAAAGAGCTCGAGGGATGCATGGAAGGGGCTTCCTAAACCTTCTGGTTCTCCCTAGAAACCTGGAGGAATCTCCTCGGACAACTCCCTGTGCCTTCTGCCTCTGGCACTGCCACAACCACTGGTTTTGTTGGGAGGGAGAACCAGAATTGGAACTGAAGCATTGCCAGGGGGTGAGAACTTTTAGAAACGCTGGGTTAGAAATAGAGAAGTCTTGTTTCTTGTTAGAAAAGTCTTGTTTTGTAGGTGGGAAATGTCAGAGCTGGTGAAAAGCTGCCCTTGTGTTTTAACTCCTACTCAGAGCAGGGCCCTCCCTGCAGGGCTGGGCAGCTCCTACAGCCCCAGGAGACACAGAACTGCTGGGTGTTTACACAGAATCCAGGATGGGGTGGGTTGGAAGGGACTTTAAAGATCATCCAGTGCCACCCCTGCCATGGGCGGGGACACCTTCCACTAGCCCAGGTTGTTCCAAGCCCCGTCCAACCTGGCCTTGGACACTTCCAGGGATCCAGGGGCAGCCACAGCTTCTCTGGGAATTCTATCCCAGGGCCTCCCCACCCTCCCAGCCAGGAATTCCTTCCCAATATCCCACCTAGCCCTGCCCTCAAATTACATCCCCAGTGATGTCAGCACTGTCAGGGGACATTTTGCTGATCCCAGCCCAGGAGAGCTCACACTGATCCCGGGATCACCAAGGCTGGAAGAGACCTTCAGGATCCAGTGCCACCCTCACCCAGCACCACCAGGATCACCCCCAATCCATGTCCCCAAGGGCCACATCCAGACACCTCTGGGACACTCCCAGACACAGGGACTCCACCACCTCCCTGGGACACTTATTCCAAGGCCTGACCACTCCTGCAGGGAAAAATTGTTTCTAATCTCTGATCTGAACCTGCCCTGGTGCAATTTAAGGCCGTTTCCTCTGTGCTTTAGGAAGCTGGAGGACATTTAGTTCCCAGGAGCTCCGGGTGAGGGAGGATAAGTCTTTATCTACGCTTGTCACACCAGGGCTGGTGGTGGATTCCTCCAGGATTCCTCCAGGATTCCTCCAGGATTCCTTCAGTCCCACAGACCTGGAGGGAAATTACAGCCCCCACACAACAGCCCAGTGGTTAAACCTGCAGGAACACCAGACCTGATTCCCACCTTGGCACAGCTGGACCTGGCAGCTCAAGGATGCTCCAGTTTCCCACATATCCTGCTGAAAGCCCAGAACGTGGATTTCATAAAATCATGGAATCATAGAATCCCAGGATGGTTTGGGTTGGAAGGGACCCTAAAGATCACCCAGTTCCAACCCCCTGCCATGGGCAAGGACACTTGTTTTCCTGCCAGAGTGGTCAGGCCTTGGAATAAGTGTCCCAGGGAGGTGGTGGGGTCCCTGTGTCTGGGAGTGTCCCAGAGGTGTCTGGATGTGGCCCTTGGGGACATGGATTAGGGGTGATCCTGGTGGTGCTGGGTGAGGGTGGGACTGATGATCCTGAAGGTCTCTTCCATCCTTGATGACTCTGGGATTCTGTGAAAGCAAGGGAGGCCTTGTTACAGAAGTGAGACCACGTGTTGACACCTGACCTTGCAGGGCCATGACACGGCAGTGAGAGGACCAGAAGAGACCTGCCTGTCCCATATTAATTCCCCCAGGAAGAAAGAGGAAGGAGGGGAATTGCAGCCCAGGAGCAAACCTGCCCACATTTTCCTCCCCAACGCTGCCCAGGGATGTGCAGCTCTGAGCTGGGCTTGGTGCATGGGCAGGATTTAATTAGACTTCCCTCACTGCTGTGCTTCCAGGTGGTGCCGGGTGAAATCCCAGCTCCGGTGAAATCCCAGCTCCAGTGAAATCCCAGCTCCAGTGAAATCAGTCTCCTGCTACTGATTAAGAGAATCATGGAATCCCACAATGGTTTGGGTTGGAAGGGACCTTAAAGATCATCCAGTGCCACCCCTGCCATGGGCAGACACCTTCCAACCTCCCAGGTTGTCCCTCTCTTACTCTCCAGTCCCCATTCCTTGCTCTCCAGTCCCCATTCCTTGTTCTCCAGCCCGGGGCAGAGCTGGGCTGGGCTCAGGGGAGGTGCCTCCTGCAGACCCTTCCCAAGGTGGGACAGAACCACACCAGGGTTTGGGCTGGAAAGGCCCTTAAGGATCATCTCATTCCATTCCCTGCCACGGACAGGGACACCTTCCACCAGCCCAGGTTGCTCCAAGCCCCGTCCAACCTGGCCTTGGACACTTCCAGGGATCCAGGGGCAGCCACAGCTTCTCTGGGAATTCTATCCCAGGGCCTCCCCACCCTCCCAGCCAGGAATTCCTTCCCAATATCCCATCTATCCCTGCCCTCTGGCAGTGGGAAGCCATTCCCTGTGTCCTGTCCCTCCATCCCTTGTCCCCAGTCCCTCTCCAGCTCTCCTGGAGCCCCTTTAGGCCCTGCCAGGGGCTCTCAGCTCTCCCTGGAGCCTTCTCTTCTCCAGGTGAACCCCCCCAGCTCTCCCAGCCTGGCTCCAGAGCAGAGGGGATCCAGCCCTGGGAGAATCTTCCTGCCCAACTAATCTGGGCTCTCCCCGAGCTGGGATTGCTCTCCCCAAGCTGGGATTGCTCTCCCCAAGCTGGGATTGCTCTCCCTGAGCTGGAATTGCTCTCCCTGAGCTGGAATTGCTCTCCCTGAGCTGGAATTGCTCTCCCTGAGCTGGGATTGCTCTCCCGAGCTGGGATTGCTCTCCCGGAGCTGGGATTGCTCTCCCTGAGCTGGGATTGCTCTCCCCGAGCTGGGATTGCTCTCCCGAGCTGGGATTGCTCTCCCCGAGCTGGGATTGCTCTCCCCGAGCTGGGATTGCTCTCCCGGAGCTGGGATTGCTCTCCCGGAGCTGGGATTGCTCTCCCGAGCTGGGATTGCTCTCCTGGAGCTGGGATTGCTCTCCCCGAGCTGGGATTGCTCTCCCGGAGCTGGGATTGCTCTCCCGGAGCTGGGATTGCTCTCCCGAGCTGGGATTGCTCTCCTGGAGCTGGGATTGCTCTCCCCGAGCTGGGATTGCTCTCCCGGAGCTGGGATTGCTCTCCCGAGCTGGGATTGCTCTCCCCGAGCTGGGATTGCTCTCCCGAGCTGGGATTGCTCTCCCTGAGCTGGAATTGCTCTCCCTGAGCTGGAATTGCTCTCCCTGAGCTGGAATTGCTCTCCCTGAGCTGGGATTGCTCTCCCGAGCTGGGATTGCTCTCCCGGAGCTGGGATTGCTCTCCCCGAGCTGGGATTGCTCTCCCCAAGCTGGGATTGCTCTCCCGGACTGGGATTGCTCTCCCGGAGCTGGGATTGCTCTCCCGGAGCTGGGATTGCTCTCCCGGAGCTGGGATTGCTCTCCCCAAGCTGGGATTGCTCTCCCGGAGCTGGGATTGCTCTCCCCAAGCTGGGATTGCTCTCCCCAAGCTGGAATTGCTCTCCCGGAGCTGGAATTGCTCTCCCGGAGCTGGGATTGCTCTCCCGGACTGGGATTGCTCTCCCGGAGCTGGGATTGCTCTCCCTGAGCTGGGATTGCTCTCCCCGAGCTGGGATTGCTCTCCCCGAGCTGGGATTGCTCTCCCTGAGCTGGGATTGCTCTCCCCGAGCTGGGATTGCTCTCCCCGAGCTGGGATTGCTCTCCCCGAGCTGGGATTGCTCGCCGCCCGAGCTGGGATGCTCTCCTCCGCCCCGAGCTGGGAGTGCGCTCCTCCCCAGCGGGGAAGTCCCCTCCCGACTGGGATTGCTTGCTCTCCCGGACTGGGATTGCTCTCCCGGAGCTGGGATTGCTCTCCCGGAGCTGGGATTGCTCTCCCCAAGCTGGGATTGCTCTCCCGGAGCTGGGATTGCTCTCCCCAAGCTGGGATTGCTCTCCCCAAGCTGGAATTGCTCTCCCGGAGCTGGAATTGCTCTCCCGGAGCTGGGATTGCTCTCCCGGACTGGGATTGCTCTCCCGGAGCTGGGATTGCTCTCCCTGAGCTGGGATTGCTCTCCCCGAGCTGGGATTGCTCTCCCCGAGCTGGGATTGCTCTCCCTGAGCTGGGATTGCTCTCCCCGAGCTGGGATTGCTC